TTCAGCTTGGAGAAGAGAAGGCTGAGATCAATCAATGGGGATCTTATCAATGCGTATAAGTATCTGAAGGGAGGGTATCAAGAAGATTGGGCCAGACTCTTCTCCATGGTGCCAAGTGACAGGACAAGAGGCAACAGGCACAAACTGAAAACACAGGAAGTTCTGTCTGAATATGAGGAAAAATTTCTTTCCTGTGAGGGTGATGGAGTACTGGCACAGGCTGCCCAGATTGCTTGCAGAGTCACCTTCCTTGGAGATATTCAAAACCCGCCTGGATGCAATCCTGGACTATGTGCTCTAGGTGACCCTGCTTGAATGGGGTGGGGTTGGGGGGGGTAGACTAAATAGTCTCCAGAGGTCCCTTCCAACCTCAACCTTTCTGTGATTCTGTGAATATCCCCTATCTTTAGGTTTATATATATATATATATATATGCATCTATGTGTGTGTGTGTGTGTGTGTGTGTGTATATATATATATATATGCATGTATATATGTACATCACTCTTATTTAGATGAGTTCTTGTATCCGCTCCAAATTTAGATAGGTTCTTGTATAGACCCAATGTGATCCAAGGAAAACCAGTCTCAGAGATGAGTTCTTGTATCCGCTCCAAATTTAGATAGGTTCTTGTATAGACCCAATGTGATCCAAGGAAAACCAGTCTCAGGAATCCCTATGCAGCAGATTTCTGTGACCACCTACCAGAGCACCGCTGCTGTACGATAATACCATGGAGAGGGTTTGGTCAGAAGTAAATCTTTATTTTGATATGAAACACATTTTTGTACATCACTATCTCTCGGACTCCAGATCATCAGGAATAGAAGTTTCTTTTATATAAATGAAGCATTTGGGGGTCATAATTATAACTGCATTTGTAAAGGGTTCGTGAAACAATTCTGGTTCTAAATAGACTCTGGGACTTCACTTGCTAGGTATTTTCAGAACAACAATCAGTCATTTGCTAAGCCATTATAAACTATTTATAGATGAAACTATTAAATACACACCCCCTCCCCCAGATATATAGTGACCTATTTTTTGCACTTGGGAATGCAAGTCTATATGGATTCTCAGGAAATTGATGTTTCCAAAAGAAAAACTTTATCAGGATACTAACTGCACCTTTAAAGACATCACACACCAAACACGTGGGGCAATATCAAGCAATTTTAGTATGAGAAAAGCAGCAGCGGCAGAAGGCAACATCAAGCAATGAAGACGTGAATAACTGAGGCAGAAGCAGCCAGGGTTTGTAACAAAGTGGCAAAAATTGCAAAGACAGCACAATGAAATGAACAGGATGACCATCATAAAATTAGCTTTTTAATACTAAAATGTGTTGGAACATAAACAGACACAAAATAGACGAATCTGGGTAGCAAATACTTTGATACCCACATCCTCTCCAATTCACGTTTTAAAACAAGAAAATTATAACTTAAAGAGCTTCGACCCACTTGAAAACAAAAGTACCACACATTTTTCATGTAATAAAAATTGACATTGTTTAGACATTGCATATGGAAAAAACAAGTAAATCACTTACCAAGGATTAATATAAAATGCCAAAAGATAATCAGTCCAAAGGCATGAGGGTAGCAGAGTTAGGAAAGCAAATACACTTCTACGCCTGTGAGCATTAATAAATAACATCATACATAAAGATGAAAAAGTGAGCAGAGTTAGTAAGACAAACAGAAGTTAGGAGATCAGCAAATTCTATTTTAAAAAACAGCTAAACCCATATAGTCTTCCTCTTATTTTCTTTATAAGAACATTATTAGCAGGCACAGAATTTTTGCTCCTCAAGCTGATATCTGCGTAGCATTTTCAGCTATCCACCATAAAATTCTGTATGATCAGAATAAATGTGTTTTATGGTATTGCTGCAGACCTACTATTTTAAAGCAATGTTAACTGACACAATGGCAGATCTTCAGAGACTAAAATGTATTGAAAATTTCATCCGCAGGTCTGTTTTCATTACTTAAGTGGTGCTAAACCTATTTTCTGATGTTTTGAGTTATTTCAGGGTAGATATATTTTACTTTCACTACCTACAACTATTATAATCTACCATGCTTGTTCCTGCAAGTGATCCTGTGGACATCCGCAGGAACATCTGCATCAGAGTTAAATTAGTATCATGCCAATATCTCTTAATCCCTATGGTGTCAGATTTCTGAAAATGGCCACAGAGGTTTTGCTGAAAGTTCCACCTTTAGGTGCCTTAAAAAATCTTTCCTAGGTTTTCACCAAAACATTATTTGAACTTCTTTCCTTGGTTTGAATAATTATTCACAACAGGCTTCATTGTTGCTAAATGAAGTTTATTTGAGTAAAAAATAGTTGTAAAACTCTGCATTTGCAGACTGTTTACCAGATTCACCTACGCCTTAATCAAGGAAAAACACTGAGGCCTGTTCTATCTGTATTGGTTGAGCAAGCTACAAGGACTTTGCAAACATGAAAAATTTATGACACTTAAACAGAAACTGCCCCAGTAGTAGGATTTTTGGCTAGATACAGACTTTTTTCCCCGCCTTGTGAGAAGATTTCATGCCTTAAAAGTAATACTGACTTTCACAGAACTGTTCTAAAGAGGAAATAAGAAGTGAAATTTCCTTTTTTAGTAGTCTTGTCCAGTAAGAAGTTATTAAATGCAAGGCACTGCTGCTGTAGTTGTCTCTACTCTTAATATCCAACCTGTGGTGGAAAACTTCTGCCCACCCAGTGGAAAGAGTAGGTAATACTTCAATGCATTTTGTTGCTGAACAGAAAATGGAGCAGTTTCTGAGGGGTAACTTCCCCCGACTTTGGTATGGCTTTGGTGGGTCAGCCAGCAGCAAAAGCCCTGCGCGTGGCCCTGCAAAGGGCACGCTTCCAAACAGTCCTGCTCTGCCAGCACCTCTGCTGGAGAGCTGGCCAGCATTTCCCTCTAAAAATGAGCAACAAAACCAGTAAGGTTACCAGTGACGTGGGCAACTCTTCTGTGCTCTGAGGACAGCACCAGTGAAGCCAGCACAGCAATTCAGCTTTCTAGTTAAGCATATGCCAAAGTGATTGCAGGAACAGGGCCTCAGGGTTGAACCAGTGAAAGTTTCTGTGGGACTGGACTGCAGATGAAATCTGGCCTTGCATAAGCAGAGCTCTGGTGCCACAGAGAGGTTTCCATTAGGCTTAGAAGAAGTGATTACGTTGCCAAGATAATACTCTTTCCTTCAGGACATCCCAAGTGAGGTTTTCCAGAGTTTTTACTTCATCTTCCCTTTAAGCCCATGTTTTGTCTCATCATCACATCATCAAGAGAAGTTTCCATGCTACACCAAATCACTGGCTAATATACTTGGAGTTCACAGTGCACATTTAGGAACTCCCAGCATCTGAAACAATTTATTTTACTTAATAACTAAAAACTATGCAATCGCTTAAAAAACAAAATTCCACTGTTTACCTGGAATTACATTGTCTTTCCCCTACTACTGAGATGTACTGAAAATTTTCATTTAATTAAAAGAGAGAGAGAGATGCAAAGAGTGGTCAAATCGTGAAAACTCTGCTGAGCTGACATTTCCTCAGGAAAGAGCAGATATGCCTGTGCCACTCCTAGTATATCCCTGGAATGGCCCCAAGCAAAATGGGTTTCTTAATCCTTTTGCTTGTCTTTGCGGCCACAGTTCCCCTTCTACTGTCCGGATGGGTAGTGAATCTGGTCTCGAGGTAAACCTGGGCTTTCCCCTCAGAAGATAATGGAAGCACAGAAAAGAGGATATTTTTATTAACTCTCAGAGAAGTCAGGACCATAAAACTGGACACACTGGTTTCAGTTACTGAAATGCATGGTGATATTAAACTGGAATATTTTTTCAAATATATTTCTATAGCATTTTATATATATTTATATATGTATTTTTACATATGTATATACACTTATATACATGCACTAAATCAAGCAAAAAGAACCTTCACTTACACATCTAAACCTATTAATTAATTCCCCTTCCCATAAAAAGTCTTTTCTGTTTTTAATAACATCTGTTACTAGTTTAATCATTTGGTTCAAGCTTGGATCTTTAATTAACAAGAGCGTTTGATCTTCTGCCTTCATTGCTATTAACATAGTCCAAGCAGGAGAAGCTGAAAGAGAGATTAGTTTCTACTGCATACAGCTGGCTGCTATTAAAGCTAGACCAAGCAAGTGAAGCTTGTTTAATATCCAGTTAATTAGCAGCACTGTGAGGTATTGACAGGATTTGCCAGGCTTGTTAGTTCAGTTTGCACGCTTATTAGCAAAAGGCTTGTTCTGGTGCAGTGTCAATCCATTTAATCATGTCCTTGCTGGCAGGCTGTGTCCCACAAGGTCATGGAAGCAGTTCCATGCTTGCACCAACTTCTTGACTGCCAACAAAGCTGACCATAGGTGTAAAAGCAAGGCTCATATTTCCTTCTTCCTGCGCACTTGAGCAGTGTTTCAGATGGCCACAGTATGTTTTTAAATATCTGTGCTTAGATTTGCCTTGAAAGATGTCGGTCTTTTTGCAGAGGTTGCTAACAGCTGCCTCACAGAAGACTAAACACCAGATCAGCCATTAGCCCCCATTCATTTAACAAGAACATGAATGAGAATGACCACACTGGCGGCCAGGCAAGGAGTGCTTAGGGCCCTTTTTCTTCTGTAAAAGCTAATGTTATAGACTTGCTTTGTTCAAATACTTCTCTTAAATTGATGGTGTTAGTGATAGCTCGGAGTCCACAGTTAGTGTTTGCAACTCCTGTAGGTGGTTTTCCAGATTAGCAAGAATATGTTGTTCTTCCAGTCATTTCAGCAGCACTGAACACAAAGTTACAGTAAATGTTTGAGTTGGCTTGCCCTTGTCTTGTAATACAAGGGAAAATTAACTAACGGCACTGCAGAAGACAGTTGCTAATTGGTCATCTATAGGCAAGTTTACTTCTAGATGAAAATATATCTCTATAGAACTGCTAATGGATTTATAGATCAAGTTCCTACCCTTGTGTTATTTTAGGAAATATGTGTCTAACAAAAAGGAAAAAAATCATCCAAAAACAAAATTGGTTGACATATGTTATACATCATTCCCTTCTAAAAATAGGAGGTGACAGGCTACACAGTCTTGAGTCATCATTCAAAGAAAGAAAATACTAAAATAACAGGTAAAGTAGCTTTATCTTAAACAGTGACAGTGATCATATAAAAATTAAGACTTCCAAATTTAAAGCTCATACTTGCTAAAAAGCAGCGATGGGGAAACAATTAAGAGTTTCGTTTCAAAACACTCACCAATTATAGGGAAGCTTTCCGTCTCTCTCTAATGATGCAAAATTGACAAAGGTTCCAGCCCCGCACTCCCTGTTTCCAGAAGACCATGAGGTACAAAGTTATCATTTTTGGATTCACAGTGCTTGCAATGATGTTGATTTAACAGAGATCTCTTGGAGACCATTCCTCAGAACTGCTGAGCACTCACATTTGTGACTAGGTCTATGAAATAATGTGTGATAAACATAACCGAAATCAAGTAATCCTTAATAAAGCCCTCCAAAACCAGTAAACTCTCAACACTACCTAAGATCAAGTCTCGTAATAATCTGTAAAAAGAAGGAAACAAGAAAAAAGTTGCTACAAAAGAGACCTTAAATAGATCTCACTTTCTATCCAGATTTGTGATTTATATAGCACTAGCTGCCTGTCTCAGTACACATCATACTAAATATGCACCTTTCTATCCTAAATAATAACTGTTCCAACTCCTTTAAGGAGAAGATATATAATTGTCTCCATTTTACAACAGCAGCATGGTAATTCTGAGTTGACAAAGGAATTGTGTAAAAGCTGAATTTCCTGAGTCTCATTCCAATGAGTTTATGAAAAGTCCATTATTTTCAGCCATAAATGACAAACTGACTTTACTATTTTTGCTTCCTTGATTTACATAAACAATTGCTTGCAGCTCCTAAGTGAATTTATTTTTTTTAGTCTCCCTCGAGGTCTTTATCTTCTGTAGCAGAAGCAGTGAGGAAACAAGAAAGAAAAAGCTTTGGGATGCATGCACAGTAATTAGATAGGAAAGAGAACTGATTTACTTGGGGGTTTCCCAGAACCAGTTATGTGTAAAAGGAGCAAACAACATAACGATCACCGAAATAGCTGGCCTGAAAAGTCTGTGATGTGGTCATCTGTTGCATGGAATATACAGCCAAGACACAACACAAAAAATGCAATGTCTGCTGGGTAGCCAAGTAGGAGATTTTTAGCAAAAATTTTTGAAATGAAATCATTTTTTTCCTGATATAATGGAGAAAGTTAAAATATATTCATAGATTATAAAAGTATGAAGACTTTACCACGCTTTACTCAGTAGGTGAACCACATGTGGAGGATCTGGGGGTATATGTAAGGCTCAGGGCCTTCCACAGCCTCTTAAATGCAGCATCCGGGACCTGATGAACTAATGATCTTATCTGGTGATAGGAAAAATCTCCTTTTCCAAGCCATATGACAGATTTGCAAAAGCATCTTGATATCCTGCTCATGCTCAGCTGCCTAAGACCCCCAATTTTCCTTTAGGTTCCTGACCTGACGTTCCCTTTATAATAAGTGAGTGCACTTCTCATTGACCCAATCCAGCAAAATTCAAAAGGAGCCAAAGCTGAGGCTTATAACTCAGGCCAAGAATTGAAGTAGATAGAGGGAGAAGTGATAGTCTCAAATGGGAAGAAGATAACCTTTTTTAAGGTATTTTGGTCACAAATGTCTCGAGCATCACCCATGTACACAGGCATCCTTAATTGCAAATACCATTACGATGTGTTTGTTGTCTGAATATTTTGGAATTAGCATAAATTTCGACTTACCTGGCCATTTGCAGGTGTTTTCTCCTGAGTACAACAAGAGTCACCAGCAGCAGTCCAATCAGGAGGATACTTAGGATGGCTAACACAGAGATTACCACTACGTTGGGATTCATCTCAGTGACTGTATATACAAACAATAGCTCTTGGTTATTCAATTCAGAAGAGCTGACAGGTTTTTTTTTTCCTAAATATTGATATTGTTATTTTTTTGAACTGTTCTCATGCACCCTGAAGTGTTACAGAGAGAAAAACCTACCACTAGAGATAAAGGAGATTTTGACTATTTACTGCCCTTATAAAGTTGTACTGGGGAAATGACTTCACTGTGGCCTATTTTTAAGCTTTGGCATGTTCTGATGTTTTCCTTTGAACTGACGTTTGTAAAACAAGAGAAGAGGGAGAATGAAATATAAAATACAGATATTCATCATTATCTATGTCTCCAAAACGCTTTTCAACTCCTGTTAAGCCGTTCTTCAGCAATAATCTATACCATCTCTAACCCAGAAGTGAAATAAAGGGTCAGAAACTCTGTTGATATATGGACTGAAAAAGATTGAATGGCACTGGTAAATAAATTTTAACAAAACTTGCTGTTTTAAATAAGAACTGGAATGAATTCTCAATAACAAAACCTTGATTTAATTTTGTTCCATATTATCATGCTTTTTAATTGTACTATCCTGAGACCAGATACCCTATTCTGCTCATTACATAAGAAGAAACTCTCCCTACTTAACTTACTTGGAATAACTTTACATCCACAGTAGTTCAGAGAAGTATTTTTCAAATTAAAAGTCAAGGAGAATTTTAAGCTAAGTACTAGGCACTGAACTCGGACGTTGGGTAGTATATGTAATGTAGGACCAGTCACTAAAGCTACCTGACTCACTAAATACGCAGAAATGACTGACTGTTTTGAAAGGGAGATTCTAAAGAAAAGTTCAGCGCTCTGGGTAGCACAACGGTGATACTCCTTCTTCAGTGTTAGCACAGAGCCAGACTTCATGACATGCTAAGGGAGCTTTGTTGGGAGCTCTTCCTCAGGGGTATGACTGCTCAAGATCCCTCAGCTGTCCTTCTCCTTCTCTCCCACCTTGTCCCCACTTTCGTTTAGAAAGCAGAAAGCAATTTTTCTCCCTAGCAGTTTGTAAATGCGATTTTTGTCTTATTTTATTTGGGCTTGGCTGAGGAGACATTTTTCTCCATAAATGTCATCAGGCTTTGTGTACATCTCTGACGCTCAGCCTTGAAACCACAAACTAGAACTCTGACTTCTAAAATCCAATAAAGCATTGAACCACTAGATGACATTTTTCCAAGTCAACCCCCCAACAGGAATTTTTCTAAAACTCTTTTCAAGTTGCTTCCCTATCCCATCCACAGCTGGCAGCCCTTCAGTGATGCACAAACCACCTCTGCTGCCAGCATAATCAAGAGCAGTTTTAGAAATCAGGGGCACAGGCAACTGGAGAAGGAAGAAGCAAACAGGGAAGTGCTGCTTACCCATGGTGGAGACAGCAATGAAAGTGGGGACACTGGGACTATTGTGGCTGAAGGTGGTCACGCTGCAGTTGTAGGAAGTGGCAGGGGTTAGGCTGGAGATTGTCACTACGTGTGACGAAACAGTGACAGGTTCCTACAGACATGGGAAAAACACACAGGGGTTTGTCTCCCATACATACAACATCACAAATCAATTCTCCTCTCTCCACCTGTACATTTGTCCAGATAAAGTTAAATCTGGTGAAAGAAGCCAACTCTTGGAAACCTACAGAAGGTACCCCCACTGAAAAGAGGTAAGAAGCCAGGCAGGTAGAAAGAAATTTTGTAAGTGCTGATATGGTAAAAGAATACAATTACAAAAAAAAAAAAAAAAGCACTGATTTAAGGACATAAGTCCATAAGGTCTGCAAAAGCTTTTCTGTGCTCTCCAATAAAATCAAAGGTGGGCTGCAGATGTGAAAGCAGAGACACTGAGCTAGTGGTTCAGAGGGGAACTTTATGAATGAACTCACTCCAGCTGTGGAGTGCAAGATCCTGTAGCAAGCCCAGAACACAAGATTTTCACAACAGCCTGTTTTCAGTCATGAGCAACTTCTAGACTTACATATGTTCCTGTTGAAATGCAATTCTGAGGTCAGTTGCACAGACAAAAATCATATGTACATAAGTATAATAGAGGAGAATTTGATTCCCTCAGCTGAAAGAAGGCCCACAGTTTGACAGCTGGAGTTGGTTGGATTTTTTTCCATTTCTCCTGTGGGAAATTTAAATTATTCATCCAAAAACCTAGGATGTTTAAATCTGGAAAGTTGTTGCTTTTTCTTTTTGACTTAAAAATGAAGGAAAGGGATGAAAATGTTCATTTAATAGCACGGAAAATCTTGGAAAGAGAATGTTCACCAGTCTAGTGGAAAAGCATCACTTTCCAATGGTTCAAAAAGAATTGCTGAGCCCTTCCTTCTTCTTCATGAAGACAGAAGAGAGCGTGATGAATGTTGCAAGAAGTGAGCTGATAATCTCTTTGTATTTCTCAGTGCTAGACATCCACATCAACAAATGGGAAACCCCCTGAAGTTCCTGCTAAAATGGAGCAGTCTTTTCCTGATGTTCTTAAAACTTAGCTGCCCCACACTGCAGCTGCAAATCCTGTGTATCTTCTTTGCTTAATCACATCATTATTCTGAATCTCTGCTAAGTGGATAATAACTTTGTGGTCTTTGGTGATTCACTGTGAAAAAGCAGGAATCCAAATGTGGAATCTGAACTATCCAAAAGATTAAAAATAATTTAGATAGTTTTTTCTTTAGTTAGTACCTTTCTCAGTTTAAACAAAATATATTAAATAAGTCACAGGCTAGTTTTACACGGGGTTAAAGAGGATGTATGCCTCCTTTGTGATATGCTGAGAGGGTTATTTTCTATTTTTTTCATGAAATGATTTCCCATTATGTAGGAGTAACCCTGTAAGAGAATGATGTTTCATGGCATGTAATCACATAATCACTAGACCATCAGTTAAAGCTCAAAATAAGCCTCAAATGTTGCACAGCATTGAGTCTCGAGGATTCAAAATTACTACAGCTCCTACATTTTGCAGAGCTAGCACTATCAGTCTGAACACTTAGATATTCACGTGGCCTCAGAGCACAGGTATCTAAGTGGACAGAGAGAAAAGGAGGCCCATTAGCAAAGCTGAGTAGGTGAGTGCAGAAGGAAATACCCTAAGAGGCACCAAATGTCTGAGGAGCAGCCACATTTGCAATAGAAAGGTACTCCTCGAATAGCAGTAAGGATCCTACCCAACTGCAGTTAACAGCCCTCAAGAACAGAGGAAAAGTAAGCCAGAGACAATTAGATTCTGCATAAAAGATTTCAGCTCCACGGTGCCAAAATATATCTATTTTTCTCATCCCTTGTCAAGCTATCTGGTCACTTTTCCTTTCCTGCTCATTGAAAGGCCCTTAGTTTTGTGGCCTTTTAAGTTTTGCGGCCTTTTAAGTTTTGCAGAGCATATGAGGTCCATCAATTGGCACTCTGTTGGATGTGTTAGATGCACATAGCTTCTGTCCAACTAGTTACAATCTCTTACTTGGGTTTGCTTGTTTTCTTTCTTTCTTTCACATTGGTTAACAAGACAGAAGTCAATCTAAATATTTTGAATGATTTCATTATTTTAGCATTTCAAACACTTTAGTAGCTTAGGTCTTATAGGTTTAACTCTTATCTGCATTGCTCACTTTGGTTTAATGACCAAATTTGTGTAGTGACCATCTAATTTAATCAGGCTTTATACATAAATGCTCAGCAACAGAGAACAAAAGAGAACGATGCAAGGTCCAAGTCTGCTTTTCAGAAATGAACAGCAGAAGCCATAGAAGAGGCATCTACATACCTGGACTTTTGTTTCTTGATCAGATCCAGCCTGCTGGCAGTAGACTTCAAAGAAATCAGCCACTCCTTCTTCCACCCACAGCAGAGTCACTGAAGTCTGAGTCTTGTTGACAGCAAACAGTGATTTCGGAGGGGCTGGTTCTGGTGAAGGGAAAATCTCATTTTATTAAGTTTCTCTTTAAGTCTCTGGACAACCAAGAAGAGAAAGCATCAAATGAAAAAAAGTAATGCATGATGCGTTTCATCTTTCATTTCTTTCAGATAAAGTCTGCCAATGTAAAACTTTGACTCACATTATGATAAGCTGCCAGTGTAAAACAGGAAGATGGTGAAGTGTCTTGGTTTTAATTCTCTATTTAAATTGTTCTCTTTTTGGACAGTTGGATAGTTACTTCACTTCCCTTTTCAGCAGAGCCTTTGTTTGGGGATGATCAACATATTCTATTAATAGAAAGATGTTTGCAGAAACTCTTTCAGAGGAAGAAAGCGATCCACCTGTTAGCAACACACTCTGTGCGAGAAGGTTCTGCTTCGCAAGCCCTGCCCCAGGAGGCTATCCAGAATCAGCTTCCCATATGTGAACACTGTCTAGGTTCATTTAAATTTAGCAGAGAAAATGTTTAGTCAATTAGCAGCTAAAAAAAAAAATCTTCTGGTCTGGTATTTTGCAGCTTATCATTTTGCAGCCATTGGATCTGCACCTGTTTTATTTAGCTGCATAAGGTGATCTCCTTCCTCACTGAATTCTACGGTCCAGACCTCCGAGTTCTCTAATTTAGTATTTTGCTTCTGTTGCTGTTGTGCTGGATCTGCTAACGCATTCAAGGGGTTGGGGTTCCTCTATGGGAAGGAGGAGATGAATGTTTTCATAGGAAGGTTATTGCCATCCCCAGGGCAAGAGACTGAAAATAGCAGACTGTTGGGCGGCATGGAAGTACACTGCGAACACTGCCTATTGAAAGTGAGTGTTTCCTCAGCCATACACTGATTTTCCAAGGCCTCCAAGCACTCATTTTGCAGTTCTTGAAGCATTACTTCACACATCTTGCAGCTCTGTGCAGAGTGCGAAGTGGAGGAGGAATAAAGCAACTGCTTTGGAAAGGGGTGGAGTAGGAATAAGTAGAGGGAGGAAGAAAAGAAAATAACAGAAGGGAAAAATGCTGCCTCAGGTCCCTCAGTCCCAGAAAGGCTAAGGGGCTAGGGACATGCAAGTAGAAATCTGCTAGTCTGGCCCAGTTTAGATTTGTTAACGGGGGCTTTCAAATGACCAAACAGTCCCAGCTCTAGCCTTTTCCATTTGGCTCCGTACCTGGCACTAAGAAAGGCTTGGGAGAGCATGATTCTGGGGCCCTCCTAGGAATGATGGTGAGAGATACCCCCAGGTGAGATACCGCCGTTCATTTTCACTGAGGAGTTAGACTGAGCCATGAAACAAGCATCTGAATCTGCCACCCAACGTCCCCACAACGTGCAGGAAAATAGGCTTGGCTCTCTCTTTGCAGGCCCATCCTTCCTCCATCTTCATTTACAGTGGTAGCTTTGGTAACTGTCACTGAGAGGCAACATATGACCTCTAGTGGAGGTCACTTATCACTGCAATGTCTGCTCGAATTAAAGCGGAATAGTGAAAGCATAGGTGAACAGGAAAGGAAAACCTAAGAAGCACAGAAAGAGAACAGCTTAGACATTTTTGGCATGATGTTAAGATATACTTTTTTCCCAGATCATTTAAAGATCAAGGCTTGCTCCTGATTTTGATCCTGATGACTTCACATGAGGGATACTGGCAATCTCAAGCCTTCAAAACCTCAGGCTTCCTAAGCTCTTTTTGTTTGCCTTTGTTGGGTGCAAAGTTTGGGATGTACATTTCCAAGCTGTTCCCCAGAGTTTGCAGATTTAGTAATCTATTGATATTTAATGAAATTTGACATTCTCAAGCAATGAGCTAATTCCAGGAGACTAAGGCACTTAGAAAAGCATCAAACAAGGTGTGAAGCAGCAGCTCACTGAACTTCCCCGATCAGCACAGAGTTATTCTCCTGCCATCATTGCGTAGGTGAACACAGAATCTCATCCCCAGTCTCTATGCATGTTAAATGTTTTGCTCTCTGGAAGTTTTTGGTAACACATACAACAATATTTTGCTCTTCTTTTTTTTCCTTCAGAAATAATCTCTTGAGGAGCTTGGATGTAGTGTGTAAGATTTGCCATCAAAAATCTGGCATAAATGCATAAATGACTTGCTCAAGAGGTTATAGACATTTTGGTGAAGCATCTGATCCTCAGACAGTCAGACCAGTGTTTTAGAGCTGGAGTCTGCCAAGACTATATTGGCAACAGGGAGAGAGTTAAGGAGAGCAGGGTAGGGACTGAGGCACAGTTAGGCTTCTTCCTTGTCACGTGGACTGCAGGGTACGTGTTGCCCCAGAATTACATGGGAAGGCTTCCCTCTGCCTTAATTCCCCGCAGTGTATCTGCTCCTAGATTCAGAAACCCATTCCATCCTCTACTCAAGATAAAAAATAGTCTCAATTAAAATATGAGTATTATACGTGGGCATCATTTCAAGCACATTCTCCTTTTGCCTTCAGCAAATGGCTTGATTTGTCTGCAAGTGGAAATTTGCCAGGATGAAGCAAACATCATGGAAGAAAGAACATTTGGCAGGAGCCCTTAAGTGAGTGCCAAGTGCTGAGTTGTCTATCACTTAGAATCAGTTTCCACTACTTCTAATTACAACTCTCATTGCTCCCTCAGAAACACGGAGAAGAAAAACCTCCAGTAAAATATCCTTACTTTTGCCTATTCAAAATGCAAACAGCATAAAGGAAAAAAAACCAAACAAATACAAAAAGTAGAGTTTAGAAGTGATTTATCAAAACTGAATTTGTTCAGCCTTCTTTTATTTTTGGTCAATAAAAGAACAAGAGCAAAATAACCATAACAGTTCAGTGAGATTCTGCCTGCATTCACCGCTTGCTGTTTCCCTGCCCATAAGCAAAGAATTGGAAGGTATAACTAGGTTGCACAGTGTGCAGCATGCATAATACATGACACTTACGGACCTGTCTGAAAGATAAAGTTAGCTAATGTTTCCAAGTACTCCCTCTAAACCATTTTCATAATGGTGGTTGGGGGATATATTTACCCACACCCACCCACCCACACAGTCCTGGAAGCAAACATACACACTTAACTGTATGCACACATGGGGCAAGCAGTGAACAGGACTTGCACAGGGAAGAAAAAAATCCATGGAATTTGTCTACATCCTTCAAATTTCCATCCTTTCCTTCAGTGGAAAGACTTAGAGGAACTTCAGAATGTTCTAACTGCGCTGCATGCCCCAACACTGTTCAAGAGATTTGAGCGGAAGAGAACTATGCAGAAAGAAGAATAGATAATTGCTTCAAGACCTCTAATTAATTAGAAATTGTGGAATTCTTTAAGTTTACGCCTCTCACTGTCACTCAGGAAAGGTTTATTATGTGGATAGAGAACATAATCTGGTTTGAAATTATTAACTCTTCCTTATCCGTCTTCACAGCAGAGTTAATACCTGTAAAAGCAGTTAGGCACACTTCATAATTTCACAACTTTGGGTACCTAGGGCTCAAGGATTCTATGTGTGTGTAAAAGTAATGTAAAAGCTGTGGAGATACAGTGGTGTACTGTGCCACCTTCTTTAGATGTAAAGGAAGATGCTGGGGAGAAAGTTATATCTCAAAATCCTTCTTACCTAAAGGATCAAACTCTAAAATCTCTTTTGTTTCTTTGAATAGAGTATATATATTTCCCTAAGAATGGTGCTGGGTTCCACAGCCATGAATTCGGCTGCTTTTTATAAAGAATACTGTCACTGATTTTTACTTAAGGATACATTTTCAGGGATGGAGGACCATGGAGTTGTCCAGGCAGAGAGAAGAGGAGACAGGAAATCAGACCAGGAGATAGAATTGAGACCCAGAAGTAGGCTTATCAAACCCCAGAAGGGTTGCGCTTTGTATTGAAAAGTTCAGCTTTTCAGCTGCTAAGTCTGAATCCTAGTTCCTGAAACCTCCTTAGGGAAATAATTATTGAGCAGGATAGTTCTTCCAGGGAGGCACCAAGAGATTTCCACTCTCCTATTTCCACTTACAGGCAGATTCTGCCACTCTTGGAGAGTAGTTTCACACACATGAATGAGATGATCTTCACAGCAAGGTGAGGTGAAAATTACAACTTTCCAGAAAATGCAGTCACAGGTACATGACTCTGAAATGAGGAAGATGCTGAACCTGCTGACAGAGCTACTTTTACACTGAAGTGAGTTTAGTTTAGCAAACACGCAAGCATATTCTTACCTAATTTCACAAGCTGGGGCAGGGAAGTATTGCTGCCTCTTTCAGTACAGGCAGTCACTGAAAGGTTGTAGATGTCCCCTGCAGGCAAGCTCAACGCTGCAGTCATCACGTTGCGTGTTACCTGCAATAATCGTAGACACTAAGCATTAAATATTACCAAAGCAGATATTCTTCTTGTTAAATTAATCTGATCACTTAATGCGCTACAGACAAAATTCTAAGCATCACAGTAGATATTTTCTGCATACTCTGAACTTGTTAAATGAACTGGTTCCCACTGACACCAACAGAAAAAAAACATAATGCTCAATGCTCAATAGAATACCACAATGCAGAGAGAAGACAATCTCAGGCTGCATTTTCTATACAATCAGTGAAAATGTAAAGAGAAAAGGAAAGAGGATAATCTTGCATCTGGATTTTTCAAGTTCTACAAAATGTCAAACTAAGTTTAACCAAAAACATACATTTGACTCCACTGTAACTTTAGGGGACCTTAAATCCCGTCAGATATCTCTAAGTAAAATATACAAGTTGCATACAGGCAAGCCAGTACACATATATGTGCTAAGAATTTGCAAATTAGATCTGGCTGGGCAAGTCTAACATCTGTCTGCAGATCTTTTCACTTGACATAGATCTCAGGTCCAACTGACAGACTGGATTATAAAATAGGCTATAGAAAGCACTGACTTGTCTCATCTACAAATTTGAACCCGGACATGATCTGAAACTGCGCTGAAATTCAAAAAACTGTCAAAAAATTTTCCCATCATTCTACTGGTGACTAAGATCCCAACTTATCCAACGCCACAGAAAAAGGAAGCAGAGCTCCAATACCACAACAGACTGTTTTCAGAGTGCTTGTAGACTAACTATAAAGAGAGCATGTAGGAAATCTCATGTTGGTGTTTACAGTCACTTAATTTTCAGACTGAATTTTTCAGTCCTGGAGAGAGAGTGACAGTTCTGAATCAAGACTAACAGGGCCATCCACATTATTTTGGTCACTTGTTTAAAGCAAAATGGACCAACTTCTTCAGAGCCTCTCTGCTAACGGGAAGTATACAAATAGCAGGAATAATAAGCCATCACTACTTGATTGTGTTACCCATCCTTTCAAATAACCCCACAAGGAAAGTGAATATAACATAATAAATCAGATAAAGACATATTAGTACACTCTGATTTTTAAAGGAAACCTTTTCTGAAAGTGCCTAACCAACAGAGCCTAGAACAGGTGTACCCTTTAGCCTGGAAACATGCACCAGTATTTACAAATATGAGTTGTGGCACAGCAATTAGCTATAAATAAGCTGTTACAGGAGTTTCCTAAATAATACTTGCTGGTTCTATTGTCATTAAAATAATAAGATGATAAATATTTCTAAAGACAGTTTTGAAGTTTGGGGATTTTTTTTAGATCTCCTCTAACTTGAATCTTGTACTTATTCTAAGAATTTAATAATAAAAAAAGTTTTACTGAAAATTATGGTTTTGATAAAAATAAGATTTTTTCCTGGAAGAAATAATCAACTTGCAGAGAACATCATTTTTGGAAGGAAGGGAAAGGAGCTTCCCTTTCACAGCTTTTATTTTTATTTTTTTACAATGCAATTCTTAAAATAGTTTATTTGTCAGAAAAAAATTACAATATTGAGTTTTCTTCCACACTTGAAACAAAGATCCAAATATTGGAAGCTCCTGCTGTTCAGAAGTCTCATAATTTTGATCAGTTCTACTAATCATATAATTAGACTCTCACATTGCCACAAGCTCCAGATGGGTGCACTCTTGCAGCCACTAAGAATCCAATAAAAGCTAGGGGGCTCCATATGAATCCAAATAAAAATTGCTGATGAATTTGGGCTTATGATGAAAATACAATTCTAATTCAGCATATGCTTAGCCTTCAGCTGTAGAACCTCAAAAAAGACCAAACACTTTCAGCACATCAATGACTGAAATATCAATAATGGTGCAGAAAAAAAAAAAAAAACCATGGCCTCAGGCTTTATGAAGCTATATTGCAGGCATTAGGAGTTCCTGCCCTGCAGTGCTCCACTACTGCTTTAAACGCTTGATGCTGTTACGTCCAAGGGCTGCTCTTCGTCTTTAAGTTAGATCTTAGTGCATCTCAGTACCTTACAGAATCAATACTTAATGCATAATGGGACAAAACACAGACTTCTGTTTATAAGCAATTTTTAAATTGGTTCATGGAGTTCAAGAGAACGTGCCAAGAATGCTTCTGTATGTCTGTCAAGTTTTCTGAGCAAGTGCATATGCTCTGGATGAAATCCTCATCCTATCAGTTAGTGGAACTTGTATTCAAATAAAAAATGAAAAACAAACACAATATATAAGAATGTCTGTCTCATAAAGTCAGAAAATGGGAAGTTATACTACCCGCACCGAATAAACCAGAAAACTCAGCCAGTATGTCTAGCCTAGGTTATCGTTAACTAGAAACCGAAGGGACAAGATTAGCTTACTAAAAAAATACTCTTATGTTTTACTGTTTGCAGTTCACAGTTTTAATACCATGAAGCTATTTCTACATTCTCACTTAAATTATCACTGCTTGTGTCAAATCACAATACAACCATTTTGCTCACTATTTTGAGAGTGTGAGCCTTCCGAAGTGCATACCTTAGCTGATGAGGCTTCTGCCATTCTCAGTCAGCTTGCTTAAACTTTGTAATTGGCAATTTTCAACTGAACGCAACAATATACAGGAAAGAGCTACACTTTCCCCAGTCATACTCACACTCTTTTTGATTTTTTTCTTTCCTTCCGCAATGACCATCCAATGCAGCATCCTGGAATGGGAAAGGTCAGTACCATCTCCTCCATAGGTCCAGCTGACGTACAGAAGATGGTTGTAATACTCGATGGAGGTAATCTCAGGTGCCACTGGTGCTGGAGGGAGTAAGGATTACAGAAGGATCTAACACAATGAATTACCAAGCACAATTATAAACTTCTGCCAAAGGATGCCGTTGGGAAGAGAGTATTACAAAAATACCAGAAAAGTATGAATAAGAAAAGCACCTGCATTTACACTGGCTCCTGAGTGCTAGTTGAAATAGATAAAAAAAGGCATTTTCCCTGGAGGACTTTTGGAACACAAATATATTTTGCAAAGTATGAAGCTACTGCCTGACACAACCATTTTTTGATTCAACATTCATAAATGGAACACAAAATCAAGTTAGAAGCCTCAGATATTGCTTCACTGTGTTGTAGCCCTGAAAAGAAGTGACATTCAGTGAGAAATAAATACAAATTGTGACACTGAATAATTTGAATAGCTTTTCCATATGAAAAAAAAAGCCTTCTCTTCACTGAGCTGGCATCTTCTCAGGAGGAAAAGCCCCAGATGTTCAGTTTTCCAAAGAACATCTTTGTAAGAAAACTTTCAGCCACCTTTATTCCCCGGGTTTAGGTCCCACCATCACAGAAGTTAGCAGTTAGCTGATAGCCATCTAAGCATTAAGCATTTAGTCTACAGGAATACAGTAGCTTTTTGACTAGGTTATTAGGTGAAGCAGCTGTTTTCCCTTGTCCTCCTCATGTTCAGCTGCTCATTCCTGCCAGGCATGGTCCCCCGCACTGCCCAGCTGAGACCTCCCCACAGCAGCCCTGCAAGCTTCCTCACTGCAGTGTCAGGCCAGCAAGCCCTTGGCTCCTGGTACAGTTGAAAAAGAAAGGTATGAATCACCAGAACAACTCATCTCCTCCTGAATAGGTACTTAAGATTAATAAGAGAAGGACCTCTTGGAGGCGCCTCCCTCTCTGTCTATTAACTGCAGAGGAAGTATAGCTGATTAACTCACCCTGATTGCCTAACTGGGTTGGGGGTACAGGTCCCCGGTCAGGATTTAAGTCAAAATTGAATGGAGCCCCAAAAGTGATTTTCAGCAATTGGCAAAGTTCTGGGTTAAGACGATGATGCCCCTCAAGGTGACATCAGTGGGACAGCCTGAATAAAATGGGAAAGCGTACGAACCAACCTGCGTGCTTGGCAGCTTCTTTTGCAAAACTGTATGGATCGATCCTCATCTACGTTAACCCAGCTGAGTCATTTGTGCTTGTGCGAAGGCAGTTCAGATACGGCTGCTCAGGGAGGGCCGCTTCCCTCCACGCTTCCTCCGCTCAGGCAAGGAAAGGCAGGGCTGCCTCAGCGCGTGGGACTGTCTGAAGGGGCCACAAGATGTCACTGCTGCCTTCAGAAAGGCTTTTAGGACTCGGCTCTTGCAGTTAGATGTTTGTTAGAGAGCAGAGACTTACTGAAGTGATCACTAAGGAAGGCAACAAATACGATGCCATGGACTATTTATTTAGAGCCATTCAGAAACATCTCTTAAGATTCTTCGCTCAAAGTCATCTTTAAAATACCTTTCTATGCTGTTGAGAGGAAGCAAGCTTATTTAGCATAAAGCCTTTAAATAAATATCTCTTAATTTCTAGAGTTCCCAGTCCATCTCTAGGCAAGGACTGTGTATTCATTACAGTATAACGTTATTATTGACCTGACTCTTACATGTTATTAATAATTTCCTCATATACCCAGACACTGATGACATACTTTCCCTGTTAATGTTCACACAGCTGTCAATTTTAGATATCTGGCAATGAACAACCTGGATATATAAAGAAGAGACCCACACCTAGGAAGGGATTTCTGTGCCTGACTTCCCTACTATCATATCCCACTGGAAGCCCAGCTGCACAAAGGCTGTAGATACTTAAATCCCTTGGCTGACCTGGTCTGAAGCGACGACTGAAGCATCCACTGCAAAGGCAGACAACAGGTCCACAGTAAAGATAGATGTGATCATATTCACCAGCAGTGACACCATCTACCTTTCCTACCCTTCTACCTCTCCAAAGCTTAAAAACGTTACCATTGTCAAAAAAAATGTTGGTGGTCTAGAATGCTCTTGCTTACAGATGCTCTTGTTTTACATCCAGCTGTTTACAGCAGGTGCCATTAAAAACTCAGTAATTGCCACAGTAACACTGGTGATTCAGCAGTCTCCTTATGTCACTACTGCAGGGGGCAACAGTTGCTGCAGGAGCCCAACTGTTTCTCATGAAGTATTTACTTACGGGACAGCTTGGGATCCCCAAAATCCCATGCAGCCTCCTGAAGACATCTGACCAGATGTCATGGGAGAGAGCTATATGTCATCTAGATCCTTCTGACAGCCTTGTCATCCCAGGTGCTCTAGTTCACTAAGGCCCCAACCTAGCTATAGACTTCACATGAGCAATGGGACTCTGCATTAGGGAAATGGTTTGCCCTGAGCTTGCTGCAAGGTGCTGTACCAAACTCCCAGATAATCCTCTGGTTTAAAAACCAAGCTTATGCTCTGCATACAAAGGTTAGCTTTCCAGTTACATACAGAAGAATTGACAGCTGCTACTGTCCAAAAGACCACAAAACTTTCTACCGCTTGTTTTAAAATCTGGATTTTTTTTTTTTGTTTTTGTTTTAATTCTTGGCAACATGCCTAGGCTATGCAGGAGAGGTAGCATTATTCAGAATGAGACAGAAGGGGGCAAAGTGTTTTGTAAAAACATCTGTTGCATCTTCGGAAAGAATGAGGCCGAGGGTGATAAAGACTTTCACAGTCTCTTGTTAACCTTAAACAGTGAAAAGTAGACCAGCTGGAGACAAAGACTTTAAACCTGCAGACACGGAAAACTGGCATGCCCCTTTCCTGCAAGTAATATCTAAGACTTTGTGCTCCCGAAGGTAACTTCTAAGTCTTTATTCCCCAGAAGGAGTCCAGAAGAGGGCAGAAGTATTAACAATATGCCAATATCTTAGCTGTGGTATGATCTCAGTAATGACAGCCAGTGAGCCCGACTGGACAGAGGACAAAACTGAAAAGGATTCAATTAATAAGGTAAAAGGACAGGAATGTATTTAACACCAACAATCAGTGATGTCTCTCTATTGATAAGCACTTCTAATTTGATCAAATCAGTTTTGCTTGTTAGGAGAAAACTTAAAATACTGTGATCTGCCTCACCGCTGTTCCACATTTTCATCAATAAACTGAAAGGAAAACCACTGCTGATAAACTATGCAAATAGCATGGCAACGGGCAGAGGAGTAGAGGATTTGGACAATGAGGGGATTTGAATGGTTGCTAAGCTGGGCCTGCTCAGACACAATGTATTCCAAAGTTCCAGGTGCAAAGTTGAATATTTAGGAAAAAAGGAACAAAGGCAACCCTTCCTGAATGGCATATTCTGGAAAGTAGCTACTCTAAGGAGGATTTAGAAGCAAATCAATATAGACGTCCAATGTGATGCCACAGCAAAAGTAATCATCTAGACGCACAAATAGGAGATTATTGAATAGAGAGCTGATTTTGCCTCTGTAGCGAGTATTCAGGAGGCTGGTACTACAATTTCAGCATTCACATACTTCGGTACAGACAGTAAAGATTAGAGAGGGCGAGTATGGAAAAACAGAACATAGAAAATTGCCTGACTGTAAGAGGACCTGAAGAGTTCAATGGATGCAATTTATCAATGCAAAAGATTGAAACTAAATTCTAAGTAGAAAAAAATACATTTGAGGTTCTTCAGTCAACAAGGGAAAAATGTAACAAGAATCATGGACTGGATGTTAAAGCCAGAAAAATTTAGATCAGAAATGAAGACTCAGCCTTTAACAACGGGAAGAATTAAGCACTGGTACATCTTACCTGGGAAGGTGGGGGACTCTCCCTCTCTGAATGTTTTCATTCTATGACCAAATACATTTTCTGAGGATAGGTTTTGCCAATCACAGATGGATGACCTTATCTAAGATATTCACCCATTTCTGATTTTGTCTACATGCACTAGATAAGGAGTTACTCCATTTTTCATCTAATAGCTGTAACAGTCTTCACCTTCCCTGTACAGAGATCCAGGTTGATCTTAATGAAAGTTTATAATTTATAATAAGCTTAACCTCACTGAGTTCTTCTGCAGCCTTTTGAAGACACAATATTAAAGTATGCAGGTCCCACTGGAACATTTTCATTGTAAAAGGCTCAACCTGATGCCCCAGCTGTGAAAAGACACATTTCTCCCCTCATATAGCTACCAACCAGTCAGAAAATGACTTCATTACAGTGATATAGAAAAAATTACTGATGCCAAAGGATAAGAAATGTCACTGGAGATCTTCATGGGGCTCTGGTGGGCACTATGAATTTCTGAGGCATTGCCAGAATTCCTCGACAGTCCAGCTTGGAATCAGATATCTCAGGATAGGAAGGTTTCTACCAACTTTAGTGGAGCTAGGATTTAACTCGGTGACAATTCTTCTCTCATGGCTCAGTCAAGCACAGGCACTATATTAATCATTGCAAATGGGACTTCTTCACCTCCTCCCTCAAGTATATCCTCTTAGGCTCTTGCCAAACAGAAAACCTGGGGCTAGGCTAGTATCTGTTCTGGAGGGAGCGGCAGGGACCTAGATAGGCTGATTTTCCTCATAACACGATTTTTACAGCTGGAAAATTAAGAATGCTTCACACTGTTTCCTCTTATAGTGCATATGAATTATTTACTGCTTTCAATCAGCAATACTTCTGCAAGGTGAACTAAGTAGTGGTGCATAAAAGCAAAACGATTCAATAGGGAACTTCGAATTACACAGCCTAGATCCTAGAAATACACCGCAAGGAGCTAACAGGAGCTAGCCGGTATCTATCTCTATCTAGTCCATATCTATTTGACGTATTGAAGATTTGAACTCAAAGTATCTGATGAGGGACAACGGAGTGTGTTAAATGCAAAGCTTTTCCCACTGGAAGATAGTAATCACAGAATCACACAGAATCACAGAATGGTTTAGGTTGGAAGGGACCTCTGGAGATCATCTAGTCCAACCTCCCTGTTCAAGCAGGGTCACCTAGAGCATATTGCCCAGGATCACATCCAGACGGCTTTTGAATATCTCCAGCGAAGGAGACTCCACTACCTCTCTGGGGAACCTGTTCCTTATGCTCTGTCACCCTCTCAGGAAAGATGTTTTTTCTCAGGTTTAGGTGGAACTTCCTGTGGTTCAGTTTCTGCCCATTGCCTCTTGTCCTGTTGCTGGGCACCACGGAGAAGAGATTGGCCCCATCCTCTAGACAACCCCCCTTCAGATACTTGTACATGTTGATGAGATCACCTCTCAGTCTTCTCTTCTCCAGGCTGAACAGGCCCAGCTCTTGCAGTCTTCTTCATAAGAGAGATGCTCCAGTCCCCTCATCATCTTTGTAGCCCTCC